CCTCACCTTCCTGCACCTCCACCACCTCAGCCGCCGGTCGCCATTGCCCCGGGGACACTCAACGGAGACAAGGCCTCGGCCCGCAGCAGCCCCACGCTCCCAGGTACAGCTCCAGGGGGCCGCGTCCATCTGTACTCTAGCTGGGAATGCAGAGGCCTGGCTAGGTGTGGTAGCGTGGGGTGCAGCATGCGCCGGGAGGGTACCAGGCAGTGACCTCTGAGCACTGGGGCTGTGCTTAATCCCTGCTTCAATTTAGAAAGCCAGACAAGGCCCTGGGGCTCTCCAAAGAGGGCTTTGCCCTACCGGCGGCCTGCTCAGGGGTGGTGGTGGGATGAGGGGTTACGTTTCTCGGCGAATCTGCCTGAGCAGCAGGCAGGAGTTGGTGGGAAGGAGGCCTGGGCCCTCTCCCGCCGGTCTCTCCGTCCTAACTTTGCCTCTTCCGATCTCTCGCAGAGAGAGACCTCGTCCCCAGGCCAGATTCGCCGGCACAGCAGTTAAAGTCGCCTTTCCAGCCGGTACGCGACAAGTGAGTGCTGTTTGCTTTTGCTATGGGAGAAGGCGGTGGGGAGGGGGAGGAGGAGTGGTCAGGACCCGGGCGGAGCTGGCTGGGTGGCGGTGGGGGTCGCGCAGTCCTTGTTGAAGGAGCGCTCCCCACCAGCCCTGGGCGCCGGGCGAGCCGAGGAGACCGGAGTTTCTCCCGAGCCGGGAGCCGCGCTGGCTGCCGACCCCGCCCCCAGGGCTCCGCTGCTGGAGCCGGCGACGCCCGGCGCTGCGTCCCCCACTCACAGTGCCCCTGTCTTCTTGTCTCGCTGTGTTTCCCATGCAGCTCTCTGGCCCCGCAGGAGGGAACGCCGCGGATCCTAGCAGCCCTCCCGTCCGCCTGATTAAGGGTCTTCTTTTACTTTTGCGGGGAGGGGGGAGGGGGGAGGAGTTGGGGAGGGAGGGAATGTGGGAGGAATTAAGACAAATATTTCAGACTGGTGTAAAGGACAAATATGACAACGACGTCAAGGACTCCCATCCATCGCTTTCTGCAGACAGGGGCTTGTTCGGTCCCGAGCTCGCGTCCAGGCGGCCAGGCCTCTGCAGGCGGCTGCGGTGGCTGCGATTATCGGGTTCGGTAAATGCCCCCACATGCTTGTGTCTCTTTCCCCCCTTTTCTGTATATAGAGTGATTTCAGATTGTAAATAGCGCGTCAGCGAACTTGTCTAAATCATATATTTTTGTCTAATAAACTAAATGAAATGATGCCCCCTCCCCGCTCCTGCTGCTGTGTGCCTGGCCAGCGTGTGTGTGTGTGTGTGTGTGTGGCAGAAAGAGAGAGAGAGACGGGGAGAGAGAGAGAAGTGGGGGATACCCCGGGCGGGGCCCAAGGGCCTGTGGCTGGGGGAGAGGGGCTTCTCATGGGGGGCTTTTAGAGGCTGTTTCCACCCAAGATGCAGGTGCTTTAAACATCTCTTGGTTGTTTGTGGTTGTTGTTGAATTTTTAAATATTGTCAGTAGGGCAGTTTCTTGCTGGCAGTTCAATTGCTTTCAGAAACATTTCTCTGAGACATCATTTTCTCAGGACATAAATAAGTTCAATTTTAGGCAGTTTTACAAAACGATTTTATAACATCGGTAAAAAGGGAGGAAAAATACTTTTTATTTTTGAGCCCAGAGGAGAATTTCGGATTAGAAACCAGTTTATAACTAGTTGTCTCAACGGTACATCGTGGCGCCTGGTCGTTTTCTGGGTTGAGTGTGAAAATAATGGAGTACGAAGTATTGTTTTGCATGTAGTTTTAGTGGTTTGGTTAAATCAAACACCGGGAGAAATTGGAAGGCCCTTTAAAACTCCACAGTGCGGGGGTTCTCTGCGCTGTGAGGTGTGAACGAGGGACTGAGGCTGCAGTGGGAAGCGAGAAAGTTGAGGAGGCTTTGGTTTCCCAGGGTAGCCCTTTCACACTTGGGCACCACGGACTGCGTCCTTTGCCTTCAGATGCGCGCACCGCGGGAGTCCAGAGGAAACTGCCCCTAGATGGCCGCAGTGGGGAGGCAGCTGGGAGCAGCGACGTTGGGAAACACTGGCCTCGGGCGCGCGCGGGTGGGGAATGGCCTGGGAGCCTGGACATCGCTGCGGATCCGGGGACACCAGCATCAGTGGGTTCGGAGCGGGACACGCGCCAAGCGCGGCAGCCGGCACTTGCAGGAGGCTCTTCGGACCAGGCGCAGGGGCCTTCAGGGCGCAGGCGACTCTGTGTTGAATGCGTGAAAACTGAGCAAGCAAACGTTTCCAAAACTGCCAGCGAGGATGTGGGCTGCTGGGAAAAGCAGTCTAGTGGGGACAGGGCCGAGTCCGAGGTCAGAGGGACCATCCTTCGCTCGCACCCCCAGCCTGTGACCCGCCCTTCCCTGCCAGCTCGAGACCCGCTGGCGCCAGTGCGCGCGTGGGGACTCCGTGCACGGCCGAAGCTAGGGGGAAAGTCGGGGCACTGGGGTCTTTTCAGAGGTTCCAGGAAAGAGGGAGGCTCGCGTGAAGACTAGGAGGCGCCAGTCCACGGCTCCTACCGGACCCCGACGTCCATATCCTTCTACAGCCCTCCACCGGGTTCCTGGTCCCTGTAGAGGGGAAGGTCCTCTCCCTGCCCCGAGGCGGGAGGAAAAGCGGCGAAGAGGAGGCTCGAAGGGCGCCGCGTAGGGCAAGTGGGCCGAGGACACGTGGGGCGCGTCGGGGAGCGAGGAGTGGGAGGGGTGGGAT